AGAGTGAGAAGAGACGGATCTCAAGATGCTTCCACATGGTGATTCTCTGCATATATCTTGTTGCTATGGCGAATGAGGAGACATTAAATAAAATCATAGGTTACAATTGTACTTTTTCTTGGAGTAGGAAAACCCAACATTGATATAACATTGAATACCTTTTCTTGGACTGTGGAGTAGGATACCTCCCCTACTCAATAATCCAGGAATGAAATTGTGCACTGGGAGATTTGTCCATCACCCATCTTGGTGAAGACTTAGAATTATAATCTTGACTTGTGGATCAGCCCTTGACTGATTTGAAGCTCTTGTTCTGGCGTACCAGAACAAGGGGGAAAGAGTGATTCAGAGGGGCAATGTCTAGTCGCATATGCTGTTTTATTGAATCTGCCATATAGAATGGCGGGTGGCATGGCGTTGCATCTGGCTAAAGAGAAAGCGCTGCGTAGTTGTGGCGCTTGTAGGGAGGATAAATATGGAGCCAGCCATCCTACCTACAATGAGGGGTATCTCGAAACTCCGAGGAGAGCAGGTTTTGCTGGCACGACTATGTAACATCTGATGCTCAATATCCGACATTCTCTGTTTCTCTGTTTCATCAGCTGAAATGCGTCCGCTGAATGCAGAGACATTTGCAGTGGCATCCACACAACAGTTTCCCCTGCACTTTCCTTGCTTCCACCCTTTTGTTTCCTCCCCTGCTAACAGAGGGCTTTAAAAAAATGGTAATTGCTAGATCCCTACAGCATGATAAGATTGTAACAGTCTATTGTAACAGTCTATTGCCACACTCTACCAAGTTCTTTGTATTCTCAATGTTCATTTTTTAAAAAAGTCTCTATGAGAAGGTGGCTAAGTTCTTTCAATCCACCATGCTGTTCCGCCAAGAATAATTACAATTGTAACCTATGATTTTATTTTATTTAATGGCGAATGAGGATACATTAAATAAAATAAAACCATAGGTTACAATTGTAATTATTCTTGGCGGAACAGCATGGTGGATTGAAGGAACTTAGCCACCTTCTCAGTTACTTCAACAGAAGAATCATTCAAAAGTTTGTAAACTTGGGAATCCGAAAAACCCATCATGTTGCCAATATAGGGTTTAGATATTTAGAGCGTATATTTACATAAAAGTGACAGTGCAACGAAACATGTAAGATCATCTCAACACATCTAGATTCAGAGGGGCAATATGCTGTTTTATTGAATCTGCCATATAGAATGGCGGATGGCATGGTGTTGCATCTGGCTAAAGAGAAAGCGCTGCGTAGTTGTGGCGCTTGTAGGGAGGATAAATATGGAGCCATCCATCCTACCTACAATGAGGGGTATCTCGAAACTCCGAGGAGAGCAGGTTTTGCTGGCAAGACTATGTAACATCTGATGCTCAATATCTGACATTCTCTGTTTCATCAGCTGAAATGCGTCCGCTGAATGCAGAGACATTTGCAGTGGCATCCACACAGCAGTTTCCCCTGCACTTTCCTTGCTTCAGCCCTCCCCCCCTTCTGTTTCCTCCTCTGCTAACAGAGGGCTTTAAAAGAATGGTAACTGCTAGATCCCTACAGCATAAGATTGTAACAGTCTATTGCCACACACTACCAAGTTCTTTGTAGTCTCAACGTTCATTTTTAAAATAAAGTCTCTAGTCCTTTTCATTGTGGATATATAAGAAATGCACCTTTCCCCTTTTACCTCCACAGAAAAATGGACTAGAGATATTTTTTTTAACAAAAAGAAAGCTATGAACTCAGAGGAACTAGTAGACCATGGCCATAGATCATTTACTGCACTGTAATGATCTAGCCTGAAAGGACGCTCCAGGGGTCAGGGGGTGGTAATGTTGGCCATGGGGGCTAAGGCAAAGGCAATGGTGCCAGTGTGGCTGGGACCTTCATTAATGTATACTTTCCCATCCACATGGTGTGCAAAGGCACTCTGCGATCTTTCCAAACAGGTAGTCTCCAATGAGGTTTTGGGAAAGATCACAGCAAAGCAGAAGAAAACCTGAAAAGTGAGCTGTTAGGGGATGACACAGTGTGGATGATCCAAAATAACTCTCTCCAGTTTGGGTACTAACCAGAGCAAAACCTCCATGTGAAAGCAGCCTTGGTTTGCATTGCTGTAGAACTCAAAGGGACTTCTAATGACTTTGAAGTCACAAAACAGTGTAATCGAAAGCCCAGTCAACTGGGCCTTTGTGAAAGAGCATATTGGCTTGGCTGGAAAAATGCTTGGAGCAGAAGTTATTGTTCCTTTCAGATCCAATTATCATTTGATTGAGGCAAAAAATCCCCAAGCTGGTCAAATGCACGCCCCTAAAATACAACACGGACTCCCATCCGTTATAAGGAGGAAACGTTTTTGTCCTGTGCATCTGGCCGCTAACAAAAGCATAATTTTCTCCCCTTTAAGAATGGGTTCTCAGCTGTATGACGAAGCTTCTGCACGAATGCATTGTTTTAGAAACGCAGAACATACCTCTCTTATTTTCCTGAATGTCTCTAACCGAGTGGCTGCTTCAAATGGAGCATATCCCGTCAGACACTCGTAACAAAGCACGCCAACACACCACACATCAACGTTTTCATTGTGGGGACTCCCTTCTATCATTTCTGGAGCAAGGTAGTCTGTGGTGCCGCACAAGGTTGTCCTTCTGTAGTTTTTAAGAAAGGAAGTTAAATGCCAAACTAAAAGGAACAGCACTCAGGATAACAAAGTTAACCTCTTACAGACGACACAGACTGCCAAAAATACAAGTGGGTTCTGGATCAAATCAAGCCTGAATTCTCTCTGGAAGCTAAAATGACTACCCTGAAGCTATCGTACTTTTGCCACATTATGAGAAGACGAGACTCACTGGAAAAGACAATCGTGCTAGGGAAGACTGAAGGCAGAAGGAAAAGAGGAAGATCAAACATTCGATGGATGGACTCAGTGAAGGAAGCCACGGCCTTCAGTTAGACACAGGCAAGGCTGTTAACGATTTTGCAGGTCTTTCCATTCATAAGGGTTGCCATAAGTCAGTAGTGGGTCGATGGTTTCTGGAGCCATCCTTCCTGAGCTAAGGCAAAAATGTGTGAGCCAGAGGCTAAAAAACCATGAGCCAGCTCACACTAACTCAGCTTAGAGGGAACACTGCAGTGTTAACGATTTTGCAGGTCTTTCATTCATAAGGGTTGCCCTAAGTCAGTAGTGACTCGATGGCACATAACACATACCTTGTTTTACTGACTCTGGTACAAAAAGTCTAAGCAGGCAAATTTTTTTCCTGGCAGAGTTCTCATCCCCAGTGGGAATGAAGCCAATATACTGCAAGCCCCACTGAATAGACCTGCTCTCTCGGATGTTTGAGTTGGCACATGAGAAGGTGGTGGCTATTTTTGAAACAGATCCTGACTTGGATAGCCCAGGCTACTCGATCTCATCAGATCTCAAAAGCCAAGCAGGGTCGGTCCTGTCTCGTACTTAGATGGGAGACCGCCAGGGAAGTCCAGGGTTGTGGCACAGAGGTAGGAAACCACCTCTCTTGCCTTGAAAACACTACAGGGTTGTCATAACTCAGCTGTGACTTGATAGCGAAAAACACACAATTTTTGACACACTGCCCCAACCCCTGTGTCCAGTGGCCTGGAAAACACTGGTCTCTCTGGCCAAATCTGTCAGAATGGTAAAGGAACATTCAAATAAGGGTAAGATTATTTTTTAAAATGGAGTTCTAAACAGAGGCATACCTTAGTGATGGAGCATGCACTGACCAGCCAAAGTCCGCCAACTTCAGCTCCCCTCTTAAGCCTAGCAGAAGGTTTTCTGGCTTAATGTCTCTGTGGATTACTTTCCTAGCATGACAGTACATCAGAGCTTCAGATATTTCTTCCATATACTGCAAAATATTTCATGCAGAGACAGTCAGCCACCTCTAAAGTTGTGCAGAAACCTTATCTGCATTAGCTTACAACATCACTTGGAAAGCAGCTGGTGATCGATAAGTAAAAATGGAAACTTTCACATTAAACTCTGTGACAGATATCAGATCAACCCCATTAGACTGCTTCCCCTGACCACAACGGAGCCCTGGTACCTATGAAATCCACTTGCTTATGTTTACGCCTTGTTACTATTGCCCGTGCACCTGAGAACTGAGGTTTCAAAAATTGCTGGGAGGCCCTGACCTGGATAGCCCAGACAAGCCCAATCTCATCAGATCTCAGAAGCGAAGCGAGGTCGACTCTGGTTAGTACTTGGATGGCAGACTTCCTTGGAATACCAGGACGGGAGGACAGGGGCAGGTTTTGTTCAGCCATCTCTCTGAATATCCTCCAGGCCCCCAGTGGGGGTCAGTCACCAGAGGTCAACATGATTTCCAGGTGTGTGTGTGCGCGCGCACACACACACACACACACACACACACACACAAATTTGCTAGGAGCACTAAACACAGCCTTCCCAGGACCCATCTGGTTTGGCAGGACCCACGGCAGACCCCAAAATGGTGTAATGTGTGGTTAGGTCCAAGTCTATGGGACAGCATAGCTGGCCCTGTGTACAGTCCGCTGTATAAGGAGGTAACCTGAGGAGTCACTTCAGGTGGCAGATTTTGAGGAGCGGCAGGGCTATTTTTGGGCAGGAACGCACAGGAACGGAGTTCCGGCTGGCTCCCGAGTTGGCCACGCCCAGCAGGAACTCATTAGTATAACAGGCCACACCTAACAGCAGGAACTCATTAGGATTGGCTACATTAGGGGTGTGTGGCCTAACATGCAAAGGAGTTCCTGCTACAAAAAAGCCCTGTGTTTTGACAACAAACAAGGTAAACAGAATAAAAAGCAAAAGGTGGGTGTGGCTGGATGACCACACTTCTGGTAACGTGGGGGTGCGTCCTAATGTGCTAATGAGCTATGCTGTCAGGGGTGTGGCCTAATATGCTAATGAGTTTCTGCTGCTGGGCGTGGCCTATTATGCTAATGAGTTCCTGCTGGGCTTTTTCTACAAAAAGAGCTCCTGGAGCGGAAAGCTCCTGTTACCCCCCGAAGAAATAACTATCATCCCTTTGCTCAGATCTCTTTGAAAGCTTCACATCTAGTTCCTCAATTCCTGTGAGGTGCCATCTCTAGCGAGAGTTTAGCTGCCATTTCTAGTTGCCTGTTGCCAGGGCAACCATCGTGGTGGCTGGACTCCCATGAGAATTCAGGAAGCTCTACAGGGCATATGTGGTTTGTTGTGTTATTTTTAAAGACACCGTAGGTCACAAAGATGTGAGGAAGGCAGTCACCTGTGGCTTCCAGGTGGCGTGACATCAGCAAGACACACAGGCGTGGATCCTGCAAATAAATTCCATTCACAGATCCAGCCTGCACTTCGGAGAGCCCTCCCATTTGTGCAAGATCAATAGTTTTCAAAGCATAAGTAGAAGTGCTCTTGGAAGGGGATGCGCAGGTTACAGCAGAAGCTATCTAGTGCAACCTGAACTTGTTTTCATGGGATCAAAACGTTTAAACCCGGGGAGGGGATATGACTCAGTGGAAGAGCCTCTGCTTGGTGTACAGAACATCCCAAGTTCAATCCCCAGCATCCCCATTTAAAATGACCAGGCAGTAAGTGATGTGAAAGACCTCTGCCTAAGACCTTGGAGAGCCACTGCCTGTCTGGGTAGACAATAATGACCCTGATAGACCAATGGTCTGATTCATATCATATATGTTCATATACATCCATAACTTCCTCTGCGTAGCTAGTCCTCAATTCCCCCAAGCCCTCTCCATTACTGCAGCCAAAGGCTTGGTTCTTTTCATTATGATTATTTTGGCCAACTTGAAAACTGCCTCATTCTCCCACGTTAATATGAAGGCTGTGCTAGGAAGGGAAATAACCTGTTGGCAAGGCAAGGCAACAGAAGAGACAGGCAAACAGACAAGATACCACCAGGTTTTGTTCATTATACATCAATTGGTTCCCCTTAACAAAATTGCACCATTTGGCTTTCTACTCACAGTTGCAGTTCTGGTGTCATCAAAGTATTTCTTTTTCTGTAATTCTTTGTACAGCTCCCCTCTGGGAGCATATTCCAGCATGAGGTAGATCCGAGTCCGGTCATGAAAGTAATTATACATCCGTAAGATATTTGGATGCCTGGAGAAGGCGAAGAGAAAGCACAGGTGGATAATGGTGGGCTTGCTTGCGTGAGCCACTGTGGCAGGCTGCTCAATGTCTGTTTCCCCGCACAGGTGCCCTAGGAAGACTTCCAGAATTCTAGAAGGGAACGACCATTGTGCTGTGGCTAAGATATGGTCACTAGCAACGGTGGCAGGGCAAATGTAGTAGGATAAACCAGTACAACTCCATAAAGAGGTAATGGGAAGGCTACAGTTGGGGACCATCTTTCATAGCGTTCCATGTTTCTCACTTCTGCAGCAGCAAGAGGTTCTATGGCCAGCACTTACTGGGTTAATTCCCCTTTGAGAAAAGAGCACTGGAGATTGGTGGCATTTTTGTAGCATTGGCTGTACAAGCAGGGCACAGGTGGAAGCAGAGAGGCATTCCTACAGGGCAAGAGATCATCAAACCCCCAGAGGAAGAGAGTACAACCCCATCCCCTCTGGCTAAGCTCCTCTACTCCATGAATGGCTCTCCGTTTCTTCTCTCTAATAATTAAGTGTCATCAGGTCTCGGCTGTCTTGTGAGAAGCTCTCGTGGAGTCCTCAAGGCAAGAGATGAGCAGATGCCATTGCCTGCCTCTGTGTAGCACCCCAACAGTTCCTTGGTGACCTCCCATCCAGTGTTCCCTCTAAGCTGAGTTAGCGTGAGCTAGCTCACTGTTTTTTTAGCCTCCAGCTCACACATTTTTGTCTTAGCTCAGGAAGGATGGCTTCAGAGCAAACTAAGTTATGCAGTAGCCAAATCGCTCGCTCATGACTTTAAGGCCAGGAGCTCACAAAGTAGAATTTTTGCTCACGAGACTCCACAGCTTAGAGGGAGCATTGCTCCCATCCAAGTACCAACCAGGGCCAACCATACTTAGCTTCTGAGATCTGACAAGCCTAGGCTAGTCTGGGCTACTCAGGCTGCTCTCTCTCCTGTCTCTGCCTGTTCTGAACGACTGTTTACATGTACACTCCCCCATATGTCCTCTCCCTTCAGCTGCAAGCATTCACCGCCTCCTGGCTCTGATGGGTACTCCAACAGAGCCATTGTTTTCAGCTTGCAGGCACCTTGAAAAAGGGTGGCAGCTGCTACCACAAAACAGCCACCAGAGCAGCAATCAGCCACAAAAATGGGAGGATCCACGAAATGACGGAAAGTTCCAAGCTGAGTGTTTGGAGATGGAGGCAGCTGCTTCCTGGGAGGTGCTCCCAGCTGATGCAAAGGCAATGTCTCTTGCACAGAAGTGGGGGAAGGAAAGCCAGGATCTGGTTGCTGCTTTGGCCAACGGATGCTGTTTGTTTTCAGTTCTCAAAGGAGGGGAGGGTTTGCTGCCGGCACAGGAAGAGGTTGCCAAGCCCAAAAAACTTAAGCCAGGCTGCGTCTGTGGCCAAGCCAAGAGTGCATGGCTCTGATGCACATGCCCAGGATTGGCAGAACACTTTGCTTGTCAGTCAGCTACTTGGGAGTGACCTGAAGCTCTCTATTCCCCCCCCTCCCGTTCCATCCAAGACCCATTGGATTTTATTCCTAAAATTCAAGAAGTAAATGAGTACCAGAAACTGATCAGCAGGTCCCACGATGGGGTCTGGATCCTATCCTATTGTATCAAGAGAAGTTTGTAATTGTGTCACCTTGACACAGAGAGCCCTCCATCTTTTTGTGTTATATCCCTGAGGATGCCAGTCACAGCTACTGGCGGAACGTCAGGTTCTACAATGCCAAGACCACGGCCACACAACCCGGAAAATCTACAGCAACGAATGAAGTTTGTAATTGTTGTGAACCCGTGTATCAAGTCACAGCCGACTTATGGTGTGACCCTGTAGGGTTTTCAAGGCAAGAAAGAGACAGAAGTAGTTGGCCATTGCCTGACTCTAAGTAGTAACCCTGAACCTCTGGGTGGTTCCCCATCCAAGTACTAACCAGGGCCAATCCTGCTTAGCTTTTGATATCTGACAAGACTGGGCTAGCCTGTGCTGTG